GGGGGTTGGACTAGATGACCCACAGAGGTCCCTTCCAACCCCTACTATTCTGTGTGTGTGATTCTGTGTGAAGCACAAAGTGATGTCGGTGTGAAATGCCTTAGCTGGGCTGTACCAGTGAAGGCCAGGGTGCAACCACCTTGTCCAGCAGATACTGGGCCCTGCTACGCCTGCTCCACCGCTCCCAGGTGAGATTTGGCCCTTTGCTTCCCTTCTCAGCCCCAAAGCAGCTGAAAAGTCGCGGTGTAGGAACTGCAGCACAAGCCAGGAGTCCCTTTTCACAGCTGACCTCAGCGCTCACGTCTAGAGCTGCATCTCGGCTCCTCCAACGCCAACAACTCATCTCGTGGTGAAACCATCACCGTGAGGCCACGAGGTGCTCACCAAGCACAGAAAACAGAGCAATTCCTAATCCTGCCTGATGACAAAACTGGCATCTCATGACACCAAGTGCCCCAGGACCTCAGTTGAAGCCAGCAGAAGTTACAGGCACTCAGCATCCTGCAGGATCATGCTAGTAGCTCGGAAGCAACACGGGGCATGAAGAAGGTCCTTTTCCAGCCCGTGGGTGCTGTACACATGGCTCTGATGACCTAACAACTAGTAATTGGCCTGGTAATGGGGTAAATCAGGGGGAACCACCACCTGGAGGAAGCAGCGCTTTGCTCAGGGCCCGTCACGCTGGGAGCGGGCTGGGCATCCGCAGCAAAGCAGAATTCAGCTGATGTCAAAAGCAAGAGCGGCTTCCCAGCGACCTCCCCGCTCTTCCTGCAGAGCTTCACCCCAGCAAACAGCACCGTGGTCCTTGTCCCATCCAGCACCAGTCCCGCAGAAAGCTCTCTGCCCACCTCAACGGGTGGGTAGGGGCTCACCTTCAGCTTGTGCTCGTGCTCCTTGTTGACCCGGGACAGCAGCTGGGCTTTCCTTCTGTTGAGGGCATCGATGAGGGCGTCGCACTGGGCCACCAGGCAGGCCTCGAACTCCACGCTGTTCTCCTGCGGGGCAGAGCAGAAGCATCACAGCCCGGGGCACGTCTCCATTTCAGTTGGGAAACCTGATTTTTTTGTTTTATAATACTACATGGGCCATTTCTCTATGGGCAGCTGCACCACAGCAACACACAACTCCATACCACTAGCACGTGGGGTGCAGGTGAGGAACAGGTTTGGTCTGTCCTTGGCCAGATCCTCTGCCTAGAGCAGAGATGAGAGGGGCTGGGGTCTCTGCTGCTCCTCCACGACACAGGCAGCTTTGGCAGCAGCAGTTTTTGGAGGGCTGCAGTGGGGTACTACTAAAAGGCAGGTGCTGACTGTGGGCCTCTTTGGGAGAGCACCCACCAAACCAAGCTGGGGAGATGGGGCAGAGGATTGCAGCAAGCAGCTCATCCCCGTGGGAAGGGGCTGCTCCTCGGCCTGGAGACACGGTACCTGGATTTGCTGCACCATGTTGCGGAGCTGGACCAGGAACTCTTTTGCTTCCTTGGCTCTGTCTGACAAGCCGTTCAGGGCCTGGGAAAGCTGGCTCTGCAGGGGGGAAGAAAGAGCAGGGTTATTTCCATGTCCTGGACTCCTCCTTGTGCTGGAGGAGCCGATGCGTGTGTGATTGGGGCTGGGGATGGACTGCAGCCCAGCACTGCCTTCCCGGGGCGTGTAGCCTTCAGCAGCTCACCGAGGTGTCCTTCTGTCCTGCTGCCCCGAGTGCAAGGAGAGGAAAAGGAGGGTTAGCCATCACCACAGATGCCCTGGGTTTGGGAAGCAGATACTCAGTGTCCACCTCCTCCACAGGCTTCCCGGGCTGATCAGAGACATGCCTCATCCATCCTGGGTCTCAAAGTGAGCCAGTCGCTACCTCCCCTGGATCTCAGAATCACAGAATATTTAGGGTTGGCAGGGACCTCTGTGGGTCACCCAGCCCAACCCCCTGCCCAAGCAGGGTCACCCACAGCAGGCTGCACAGCACCGCGTCCAGGCGGGGCTGGAATATCTCCAGAGAAGGAGACTCCACAGCCTCCCTGGGCAGCCTGGGCCAGGGCTCCGTCACCCTCAGAGGGAAGAAGTTCTTCCTCATCTTCAGCTGGA